TTTTTTTAGATGAAGTTTTGCATTATGTAGGAGGGAGGGAGGGAGGTGCACTGGCCAAAGTAGTCTGCACAAAAGAGAAGGCCAAATACATTTTTATGGAGTTGCACAATAGGGGCTCAGGGGCTCACTGTGGCATTCATAAAACCTTGGATGCAGTGAGCAGAAGGTTTTATTGGCCAGGAATGTCTGTGGACATTAAAAAATGGGTGAGTGCAATTTCATGTGTTCGTACACTTCTACTTGTATAGTAGCCTACCAATTAAGTAAAGTTAGAAAATAATTTTTTCAGATAACGCATTGTGCAGCTTGCCAGCAAAAACAACGTTCTCTAAAGAACCAAACCCAATATACCCCAATTGAGGTAAGTTTTGTTTGTGTGATAGAAATTTGCAGTTTGTTGCAATGGACTTGAACATGTGAATGTTTTTCAGGTGGCAGAGCCATGGGAGATTGTGGGTATGGACTTGGTGGGAAAGCTCACACCAACAAAAGATGGTTACCAGTACATTTGCGTTATGGTAGACTATTTTACCAAGTGGTGTGAGGCTTTCCCACTGAAGTCTAATAGGGCAGAGGAGGTAACAGAGTGCATAATTAAACTTTTCTATAAATTCGGTGCCCCTAAAAGGCTACTAACAGATCAAGGCACTGAATTTGTAAACCAGGTTAGTATTTAGTCTTTTTTTTATATATTTTAATCCTTGTGATTCTGTTGAAAGAGCTTTTTCTTTTTTCTTTTAATGAAATTCCTGCCCAACTAAAAATAAAACTTGTGTCTTGTATATACAGATCAATCTAGAGGTGTACCAAACACTGGGCATCAGCAGGAGCTTATGTGCACCATACCACCTGCAAACGAATGGATTGGTAGAGAGGCTTAATGGCACAATTCAGAGGTTAGAAATAATATTTTTTTCAGTTATAACACTTTTGGTAATTGATTAACAGGTCCCTAATGTTTATTTTCTCGTTTTCTTCTCCTTAGAACTTTGAGCAAGCTAGTGGTGCTTCCTCCCTGCCTGCTGCCTCAAAGCCTGCTTCCTCCCTGCCTGCTGCCTCAAAGCCTGCTTCCTCCCTGCCTTCTGCCTCCCAGCTTACTTGTATGTAGCCTCCTTTACATTTTTTAAAACTAATTTGAATAAAAAGTTTAACATTGCCTCTTTGTGTTTGTTTAGTGTTACATGACATCTGGGCAGGTAAAATTGGAGGACGAATCTGGAGCAAAATAGGTCCATTCAAACTCTTTTCTATGGATCTCGAGCGCCTCAGGCCTGGAGAGGAGCTTGAAAGTGAGGTTGGTTGCTTCCATTTGAGCATCATAATACTGACATTATCACATTGGGGTAAAATTGTGGATATTTATTTTTTCTGTTGCAGGTTATCAATGCATACCTTGCTTGTCTTGCAAAAAGTTATGCAGGGCATGCATTTGTCATTGATTCCTTCCAAATGACAAAAATGTGGAATGGCAAGGCCTGTTTAATGAAAAGGGTAAAACTGTATACCAATCCTGATAAAATGAGAACCATAAGTATATTATGTTTCTTGGTGTATTGATCTTGTAATCACTTGTATGCCCATATAGACAGATCTACAAAAATATGATTTGCTGCTGGGGTCTGTAAATGAGACTCACCACTGGACACTCCTGGTTTGCTTCATTCCCTGACTTCTATCCATTTTTTTTCTTGTACCTTGTAAACTTGTAAACTTGTAAATCTCTTTGTAGTTGATATATCCTCAACAAGGAAGGATTATTTATATGAACTCCCTTGGTGAAGGCAGCAATAAATTGGTTCACTGCTGTAAGGCTGTGAGGTGGGAGTAATAAACTACATGTGATGAACCTGATAAAGGTTTTTTTTCTTTTTTCTTTTTCTCTTTCTCTCAAAGGGATTTCATGGACCACAAGGGATTTCAGGGCACTACATGGAAATGTGTGACTTTACCACACAATTTACAGCCAGGCAGCAATTCATGTGGAGTGTTTGTGTACAAAGTATGTAGCTGTAATAAATTAAGCAGTTTTTTGCCTTATTTTCATTGTGTTTTCATTTCTCTCTCTTTTTTTTAAAGTTTGCAGAAGCCATTTTAACAGGAGGAAACCTGAACTTCCCATGTGATCCTGAAAACATTGCGGTCATGCGTGAGGACATTGGCCAGCGCCTCCTAAATGAATCGGGTAAATTCTTTAAATTTGGATTTATGGATGCATGTCATGACTATGTATAATATCTTGAGTTTTTTTTCTTCTTTTCTATAGAATTTTGTCACCACCAAACTGGTTGTTGAATCTATTTCATAAAAGGCTGTGATTTCTTTTTCTACTTTACAGCAGATGTACCAAAAAAATCTATATTTTTACTTTCTATTTCAATACTTATTGTAGACAAACTACTGCAACACCTTTACATGGTAATTTGCTTTATTCAAATGCTTTTCATCCAGCACAACAGTGAAACACATGATAAAAGTACAGACATTTATTTCAATCTTGTGTGATGTCTTAAAAGGCTAATAGGCTTATTAGTCTCAGTTAGTTTATTAACAAAAAGTTGCGGTTTGATTGCAAGTTAACAAGACGTAAAAACAATCACATCAGGATAGTTTACAAACAAACGTATTTTTCCATAGATACATTTCTACATGTTTATTTCAGATGCCACAGGCAGTGCTGTATTCAATAACGGATAACAACCAATAAAGTCCTAGTTTTAGCATCGCAAGATAGAAAGCTACCGCAACGAACTGAAATCAATATAGGATGCACGATAGATAAGGGTTGCGTATCCATACACGAAGTGAATGACTGACATTTTCATTGTCATGAATGACTGCACAAAACGAACATACTAATAAAACTACAATAAGAAGGTAGCCTAAACAAATTTAGTTTAGACATAAGCTCATAGTTTAGACACAGGTCTGATACCTTTATGAAATAATCCACTAAACATTCTGAGATGGAGCGGAACTGAGATTCTCAGTTTCACGATCAGACGCGCATGAGGACGCGTAATATCTCATGAATATTCATGTTTGCTCCGCCCACGGAAACCGAATATCTCAGAAACCAAAAATCTCGTAACACAGGCATTAAAAATCTTTATGAGCAAATGTGTCGCCCTCGCATTGGGAGTTCTGTGGAGAATCGGATATGTGTGTTTAGACGTAGGTCGGATGTCCAGGTATCCGATTAAAATCCACATTTGGAAGTGGCTCAGATCGGATGCAAAAAAATCGGATCTTGTGCGGGTTTTTGTGTTTACTCGTGTGCAACAAATTCGTGTGCTCAGATGTGAGCGAAAGATCGGATTTTTTGTGCCAGTGTAAGCCTAAGTGCCATCTGACATTTTTCTTCTAAAATAAGCATTTTTATCAGGCTCCCATGTTTATGTTCAGTAATTTCATTTGAATGGCAATGAATAAATCCTTTTCATCAGCATTAAAGTGAAATAACTGAACACAAATGTAGGAGCCTGATGAAAATTCTCATTTTGGAAGAAAATGTCAGGCAGCACTTCTACTGTATAATGAAGTCTTGAAAACTTGAACAAAATTGAGGTATAAACACTTTTCTTTGAATTAAGTTGATTTTTCTTACCCCATTAGCAGATTTTTTTTGTGGTTTCAATCATAAACTTACCAATGACCAAAGACACAGAAAACAAGACTATTGTACATTTTATTGTATATTTAATGTACTTTGCTTCTCAAGTAATGCATCCTGATTTAAGAGAAAAGTCTTGAATTTACCCTTAAAAACGTTATGGCTTTTGAATGACAGCATTTCAGTTCATATTTCCTGTTATTTTATGGTTCTTACCAGGTCAAGAAAATATGATCATATTACCCCAATTTTACAATGTCTGCACTGGCTACCTATTAAGTTCCGTATCAGTTACAAAATAATAATAATTCCTTACATTTATATAGCGCTTTTCTGGTCATTCAAAGCGCTTTACATAGAAGGAGGAATCTCCTAAACCACCACCAGTGTGCAGCATCCACCTTTATTATTATTAATATTACAAAATATTATTACTTACCTATAAGGCCCTTAATGGGTTAGCTCCTGCGTACCTAACTAGTCTTCTACCATGCTACAATCCATCTACCATGATACAAGTCCACTAAAGGAGGTAGAGCTTTTTCATATTTGGCTCCCAAACTCTGGAGCCTTCCTGATAACGTTTGTGGTTCAGACACTCTCTCTCTGTTTAAATCTAGATTAAAGACACATCTCTTTGGCCAAGCATTCAAATAATGCATCTCATAATCGTGTACTGCAGTTATATCTGATCAAATGCACATAATTATTCTTTAGTTTGGGTTAAACAAATCAATTTTACTTGGTTGGAACAGAAGCTACACTAATTATGTCTCTATTTGTTTCTCTGATTTTGCTGGGATTGACATCCCGTGGTAACTAGAATTTACACAAGCTTCAGTCTGGATCCAGAACACCTGAGAAGAGATGATGTCAACCCCTCAGAGGACCTCAGATGATGCCAACCCTGAAACAACATCTCAGGTTAGTTATGTAACCATGGTTCCCTGAGTAGGGAACGAGACACTGCGTCCTCTAGGGGTCGCTATGGGGAACGCCTCGTCGTGACATCAACTCGATCTTAAGGGTTATAATGCTGGAGTGGCTAGCAGTAAATCTGTAGCTGAGGGAGCAAACATCCAGCTCTCAATCGAGAGGGAGCTCGACCTACAACATGTTCCAAAGGTGGAACAGCTAGCAATAATTTACCTTAGCTGAGGGAGCACAAACCCAGCTCTCAACTCAGAGACAGAATTGTGGCAAGGCACAGATCTGGCCAAGGTTACAAAAAATTTCTGCTGCACTTAAGGTTCCCAAGAGCACAGTGGCCTCCATTCCTTAAATGGAAGACGTTTGGGATGATCAGAACCCTTCCTAGAGCTGGCCGTCCGGCCAAACTGAGCTATCGGGGGCGAAGAGCCTTGGTGAGAGAGGTAAAGAAGAACCCAAAGATCACTGTGGCTGAGCTCCAGAGATGCAGTTGGGAGATGGGAGAAAGTTGTAGAAAGTCAACCATCACTGCAGCCCTCCACCAGTCGGGGCTTTATGGCAGAGTGGCCCGACGGAAGCCTCTCCTCAGTGCAAGACACATGAAAGCCTGCATGGAGTTTGCTAAAAAACACCTGAATAAGATTCTCTGGTCTGATGAGACCCAGATAGAACTTTTTGGCCTTAATTCTAAGCGGTATGTGTGGAGAAAACCAGGCACTGCTCATCACCTGTCCAATACAGTCCCAACAGTGAAGCATGGTGGTGGCAGCATCATGCTGTGGGGGTGTTTTTCAGCTGCAGGGACAGGACGACTGGTTGCAATCGAGGGAAAGATGAATGCGGCCAAGTACAGGGTTATCCTGGACGAAAACTTTCTCCAGAGTGCTCAGGACCTCAGACTGGGCCGAAGGTTTATCTTCCAACAAGACAATGACCCTAAGCACACAGCTAAAATAACGAAGGAGTGGCTTCACAACAACTCTGTGACTGTTCTTGAATGGCCCAGCCAGAGCCCTGACTTAAACCCAATTGAGCATCTCTGGAGAGACCTAAAAATGGCTGTCCACCAACGTTTACTATCCAACCTGACAGAACTGGAGAGGCTCTGCAAGGAGGAATGGCAGAGGATCCTCAAATCCAGGTGTGAAAAACTTGTTGCCTCTTTCCCAAAAAGACTCATGGCTGTATTCGATCAAAAGGGTGCTTCTACTAAATACTGAGCAAAGGGTCTGAATACTTAGGACCATGTGATATTTCAGTTTTTCTTTTTTAATAAATCTGCAAAAATGTCAACAATTCTGTGTTTTTCTGTCAATATGGGGTGCTGTGTGTACATTAATGAGGAAAAAAAATTACTTAAATGATTTTAGCAAATGGCTGCAATATAACAAAGAGTGAAAAATTTAAGGGGGTCTGAATACTTTCCGTACCCACTGTATATCGACGAGGGAGATAAACACTGCAAGTCGAGCACCCGGTTTCTGAATCCAGCAGAGGGGGTGCTCACCGAGGACCTACCCTAGAAAGGGACAGAAACACACAGAAACACTGCAAAGAAAGTTAGCAGAAGGGTTATACACACAAGCACCAGCGCATTAAATACACACATATATATATATATTTTTAAATGGATCGTACTCGCACACCATGGTTCCCGCGTCGGAGCCCTGTCCGAAGAAGCCTCTGGTCCGTACCATCAGTAAGGTGGCCACTATGAAGCATAGAACCAACCAAACATAATAGGTCCAGCATAGGAGACTGTAATGCAGGAAATTCCCACCTAACCTCGGTCAGGTGGAGATGGTGGTTACAGGGGAATTAGGAAGGGGAAGATAAGGGCAGATGTAAGACCCCCAAAGGAAATGAGTGGATACTGAGGTTTCACTCTGATCCGGACAAAAGCGCTGATGCCCTGTCTGGATCACATCCCTTAGGTCTTTTATCACCCGTGATTCTTCCTATCCCTACCCGCGGGCGGGGGAGGAGTGCAAGCCGGCGACACTAGCCTTCTGTGCCCGTCTCTGATCCTCAAACCGACTCTTAAATTTATAACCACAAATACATAAGTATTATGATGCATTATAATTGTTGTTATGATTATTCATGAGTTGATATAACATACGTTTTTTTATAATGCATCACGCATTCATTATAATGCCTTAAGAATACCCTTATAATGTATTATAAATACGGGCTTCATAAAAAGTGTTACCAGATATCTCTTTGGATTTGAGACTTTAGTCTTTGCAACTTTACAGATCTTCTTTATGCACCAAGAGCTTGTAACACTCCAAAGTCCATCATATAACCCCTTTAAACTTTTTTGTAATTTTTTTAACTTGCGGTTTGAATGTTTGTGGTTGTTCTTTCTGCTTTATTTGGTCAAATCAAAACAACAAAATATTAAAGAGACAAGACAACTGTTTTTAAATAATTTATAGCTCACATTCAAAGTTGTCATATTATTTTATCTTAAAAAAATATCCATCCATGCAACAACAATAAAGAAAAAAGGATTATTTTCAGGATGAGGGGTAATCATTTTTTCTTTTTATGCCAAATCTATGAATCTGCGTTCCTCTCTCATGTGTCGACACAAATGAAAGGTTTAGTTACACAAACCAGCTACACTTTAATCAATGACGCCAACATGTTAGAAATTAAACGTAACTTGAGTACATTTCTCATGTATATTGTGAGAGAACTCATCATACATGTGGCATTTGTCCTTCAAACATTTCCCTTCAGTGGTTACAGAAATGATCGGATGACTTTGTTAAACAGTTGTTAAAGCACTCCATATCCCAGTTATGGCTATTGACCAAAATCACACGTCTAAATACAGACACATCCCTATGGCACAACTTCGCATAGATGCCTTATTTTATAATGTTGATTTATTATTTATACACGTGATCAAAGTCAATCAATGTAGGACAAGACGAATGAATCAAGTGCTACTACGGGCAGATACGATGTCCGTTTCCCAGAGAATGAAGAAAAGTGTCCATTTTCAGTAAAAGGATGACACCATAGTGCAATAAATGCTTCATCTAGACAGAGAACATGCTGAAGGTGTCATGATGAGGAGACTGCTGATGGGACTCACAAGAACAAACCTAGAAACCAATCTTGCTACATTTGCTGATGGTGGGCAGATGTCACTGCATACACTCTCAGAAAAAAAGGAACAAAAGCTGTCACTGTGGTGGTACCCTTTCAAAAGATCACTAATATATACCATTTAGGTCATTTGTGCACTTCAAGTACAAATCTGTACCTTTAAGGTACTAAAATGCACCTTTTATGGTTAAGGAACAAAGGTGTTCTTTTGAAAGGTTACTGTCCCAGTGACAGCTTTTGTACCTTTTTTTTTCTGAGAGTGTATCGGTGTAATTAAAAGACAACTCTTTGAAATAACTCGGACACAAAATGAAACAAAAATAAAAATCATGCTCTTGTAATGTGTTTATAAAAATGTACAGTGCAGATGTTAGTGAGCACTAACTAAAACAAGTTTCTTAATCAGTCGGTTTATGTTGTTTTTCAACAAAAATATCTAAATATGCCTAAAAAATCAGAGAAGTTAATTTTTTTTAAATATCAAGACTTGTACAAGAATGTATCTTTTAAAAAAAATGTTTTTTTACTTTTAAATCAAGAGGGGGAAAATATCTGTAAACAAGTCTTTATACCTTACACAATTTTGCTTTTCAGGGTGATTTTTTTAAGTATGTTTAAATATTTTGACAGATTAAGAAAATTATTTTATTTTATTTTATTTATTTATTTTACAGTGAGGCGTTTCTCTGCAATTATAACCACGTTACTGACAGGGAAAGACTTTGTAACACAAGGGTAATCTAAATTCAAGACTACAAATACACTATCCCACCAAAACCCCTACGACTGCTCAATCACAGAGGGGGACAACAAAAATGTCAAAACTCTTAACATGTAATGACTGCTTTAAATGTACAGAGTAAGATAGCTACCAAAAAGCCTAAAATATAATTATAATAAAATAAAAAAGCATTATCTGAGCAGTTAAATAGGCTCACATAGCTAAGCTGTGAATTCACCTATTGCCACAGGGCCGGATTCATCCTCTTGTCATCAGAGATGAGTGGTTTAAAACCTCCTTTAAATGCTCCCGACTCCTACAGTAAAGCTTTGACCAACTGCTCTGAGCTGAATTTACTCCCTTTTTAACTCCTGGAGAAATACTGAGTACAAGAACATCTTATATTTCACACTCCCCCACCCAAGAAAATAAAACAAATTACAAGAAAAAACAACATTGCATGAAAATATTTTAAAAACCATTAAGATTTTTTTTGCATGGTGACATTATTTTTATAACTAATCTTCCCTATCAGTCCCATTAGTACAGTATGATGTGAACAAATAATGATACAGTATTTATAGTGGCAAAGTACAATTCATGATGGAATTTGTTGTATTCAATTTTATCTATTCTGTTTTAAAACAATGTGTGTCTGGATAAAATGTTTTGCATTATAATAAGAATTTGGGATGAAATGCTTTCAGGCTAAATTTATCATGAAAATAATGTCACAAAAATCTTAAAGGTCCTAAAACAGGCTTTATTTATGCAATATAACATCTTTCTTATTTTGAGGTGAAATGTGACACACACACACACACACACACACACACTCTCTAAGAGAGACCCTGACAACAGGCCTGAGTTCATTCCTGCAGTGCTTCAGCGGGCCACATGGTGGCGATGAATACAGGTGACAAACAAACTGAAACCATCTTCTGTTGAGCCATTTCTTTTCTGACAGCAGAACCTTCATACCTTCATAGCTAGAGGTCACCTCCATTTCTTGTGTGCACGGATCCCTCACGGTTCAAATTATAACACGCCTTTAGTTTTGAGTCGATGTGCAATTTTTACAAACATCTTTGTTTTTCTATGAAAATGTCAACAGTTTGCATGAAGTTGCTGGGTGGCAACTGAAGGAGCAGTGGGTTCGGCTACTGGTTCTCCTTGCGGATTTCCTGCAAAATGTTGATGAGGCTCTCTAGTCCGAACACGTAGCCACGGTCAGGTCCGTCGTGGACCGTTTGGTCATCCCGGAAGCCTTTGAAGGTGCTGTGGGCAAAGTCTATCATGCGCACATCCACACTCAGCATCCGAGGAGGCGTGTGGGGCTCTGAGGCCGGCGGGCTCTCCACAGACCCAAGCGGTGTGGCCTGATTTTGCTTTTCTGATGGCAGCTCTGAGGGTTTCTGCCAGCCAGCGTTCACAGACTCGGGGTCCTTGCCCTCGTATATGATGAGCAGCGAGCTGGAGTAGAAGCGGTATGAGGCCTGGCGCTCCAGCACAGCCTTCAGGCTGCATAGTGTGCGCAGGATGGGCTCAAAAAGGTCTTTGCGCAGCTGCGTCCCATTGTGCATGAACTGAAAAAGTGCGTGTCGAAATCCCTCAATAGAAAGACTACGGCCGTAGTACTTGTTCCTGCATAGATAGTGACCGGTGTCCATCTGGTAGACCTGCAGAACAAACACAGGAGACACAGAGAGCTTGAATGACTGGGAAAAACCTTTAATGTGAACAGCAGAGCTGGCACTACAACGGTCAATTAGGAGAACTAAATCGCCTGTTCAATTCTGTCAAGGTCTGATTATACTGTCTTCAAGACTTTCTTTGACTTTTGCCACACAATGTAACTTTTAATAAAAATAACAAAATGTCATTAATGAGAGAGTGCAGAAAGAATCCTGTGTCTTTACTCTATGTAGAGAAATGAAGTCCCCCTGTTTTTATCCCTATTGTTCACATCTCAGATGTGGAAAAAGGCTCAAGAAATGGCTGTGGAAACTGCAGACAGGTGGGAGGGTAGAACCTACTTACATAAATGCAAGTTTTTCTGCCATACCTATACAGGGCAATATATTGATATTAATCACTTCTTAATAAGTTTGCACATGCAGGTTTACATATGCGAGAAAATATGTCTATGCACCCGTGCTAGCGATCAATGCATAATTTCAGGACTGGAAATGTTGGAGAATGCCAGAAAACCATTTCAGGCAATCAGATCTGAAATTATTAGCAGAGCACATCAATACTGGAGTCTAAATCAACCTCTTCACTGCACTCGAGATCCAACACAAACAACAGCTGCCCCACAGATCTATTGATTAACCCCAAATAAATATGAATATATCATAGTATTATTTTGATTAGTTAGTACTTTTAAACTGAATATTCAGGGCTGAACAGTGTGTTTGCATTTGCTATTATACAAACCCAATTCCAAAAAAGTTGGGAGACTGTACAAATTGTGAGTAAAAAAGGAATGGAATAATTTACAAATCTCATAAACTTATATTTTATTCACAATAGAATATAGATAACATATCAAATGCTGAAAGTGAGACATTTTGAAATGTCATGCCAAATATTGGCTCATTTTGGATTTCATGAGAGCTACACATTCCAAAAAAGTTGGGACAGGTAGCAATAAGAGGCCGGAAAAGTTAAATGTACATATAAGGAACAGCTGGAGGACCAATTTGCAACTTATTAGGTCAATTGGCAACATGACTGGGTATAAAAAGAGCCTCTCAGAGTGGCAGTGTCTCTCAGAAGTCAAGATGGGCAGAGGATCACCAATTCCCCCAATGCTGCGGTGAAAAATAGTGGAGCAATATCAGAAAGGAGTTTCTCAGAGAAAAATTGCAAAGAGTTTGAAGTTATCATCATCTACAGTGCATAATATCATCCAAAGATTCAGAGAATCTGGAACAATCTCTGTGCGTAAGGGTCAAGGCCGGAAAACCATACTGGATGCCCGTGATCTTCGGGCCCTTAGACGGCACTGCATCACATACAGGAATGCTACTGTAATGGAAATCACAACATGGGCTCAGGAATACTTCCAGAAAACATTGTCGGTGAACACAATCCACACAACCATCCGCCGTTGCCGGCTAAAACTCTATAGGTCAAAAAAGAAGCCATATCTAAACATGATCCAGAAGCGCAGGCGTTTTCTCTGGGCCAAGGCTCATTTAAAATAGACTGTGGCAAAGTGGAAAACTGTTCTGTGGTCAAACGAATCAAAATTTGAAGTTCTTTTTGGAAAACTGGGACACCATGTCATCCGGACTAAAGAGGACAAGGACAACCCAAGTTGTTATCAGCGCTCAGTTCAGAAGCCTGCATCTCTGATGGTATGGGGTTGCATGAGTGCATGCGGCATGAGCAGCTTACACATCTGGAAAGGCACCATCAATGCTGAAAGGTATATCCAAGTTCTAGAACAACATATGCTCCCATCCAGACGTCGTCTCTTTCAGGGAAGACCTTGCATTTTCCAACATGACAATGCCAGACCACATACTGCATCAATTACAACATCATGGCTGCGTAGAAGAAGGATCCGGGTACTGAAATGGCCAGCCTGCAGTCCAGATCTTTCACCCATAGAAAACATTTGGCGCATCATAAAGAGGAAGATGCGACAAAGAAGACCTAAGACAGTTGAACAACTAGAAGCCTGTATTAGACAAGAATGGGACAACATTCCTATTCCTAAACTTGAGCAACTTGTCTCCTCAGTCCCCAGACGTTTGCAGACTGTTATAAAAAGAAGAGGGGATGCCACACAGTGGTAAACATGGCCTTGTCCCAACTTTTTTGAGATGTGTTGATGCCATGAAATTTAAAATCAACTTATTTTCCATACATTTTCTCAGTTTAAACATTTGATATGTCATCTATGTTGTATTCTGAATAAAATATTGAAATGTGAAACTTCCACATCATTGCATTCTGTTTTTATTCACAATTTGTACAGTGTCCCAACTTTTTTGGAATCGGGTTTGTAAATTATGACATGCAAAGATTCATTTCAGTCCATATGTGCAAGAAGTATTTCTTTTTTTTCTGCAAAGATTATTTACAGCCAGAAAGGTAACTAGTACAATGGGGTCATTCACTAACAACGTAAATTGTGTAACATAAGTTACTATGAAAAACATGTATTTGTAGGAAAGACTTTTAAAATATATTTTAAAAATATATTTTCTTCATTAATTTTATTAAAAAAATGTATTACTTTGGTCACTTTAGTTTAGGGACCAATTATCACTATTAACTATAACTTCTGCCTTAATAAACTCCTAATTTGCTGCTTATTAATAGTAGGTAGTTGTTAAGTTTAGGTATTGGGTAGGATTAAGGGATCTAGAATATGGTCATGTAGAATCAAGTATTAATATGTGCTTTATAAGTACTGATAAACAGCCGATATGCTAGTAATATGCAACTAGTTAATAGTGATAATTTGTTCCTAATCTAATCCTAATTTTACTTGATGGTTACACCTCATTAATTTTTTTTCAACAATTGCTAAGACATTTCTCAATACTTTGTTCACTTTTTCAAAACTCTTTCAGATTGGCACAGTATAGTTCATTTCACATCCAAAATGCACAACTCACTAATGTCTCACTAGCAAAGTTAACCCAACAAACACACTTTGTCATTCATAAAACAATGACATAAAAAACACCAACAACAGGTAGCATTATACAGTTTTTTTTTTCAGTCACACTTTATTTTAAGGTCCAATTCTCGCTATTAACAAACAATTAACTACGATATTTGCCTCACTAAATTCCTAATTTGCTGCTTATTAATAGTTAGTAAGGTAGTTATTAAGTTTAGGTATTGGGTAGGATTAGGGATGTAGAATATGGTCATGCAGAATATGTGCTTTATAAGTACTAATAAACAGCCAATATATTCATAATAGGCATGCTAATAAGCAACTAGTTAATAGTGAGAATTGGTCCCTAAACTAAACTGTTACCTTTTTTTCTTTTGTAAAATGTCTTTACAAAACAAGAATGGCAGCTCTCTACTCTTTAGAATTCACTGTAATATAAGTTACATGGTCCATATTTACAGTATGAAATTATTCAAAAGTTTCCCCTCTTGTAAAGTTGGTAATGAAATTGAAAGGCTTTAGATTTTATATATATCAAATCAATATTGTAATATACAATATGTACAAACTGGGTTGTGTGAAGAGTTTTGAACAGTGGCCTAAGTATTGAGAAATGGGTCCTAGGGATAAAAAACTGTTGAAAAAGTTTTCTTAAAGTTGATAAAAGTTTTGTTGAAAACAATAAAAAAAATTATTTTGCCGCCTGTCGGTTGAAACACTTATGAACCGCACCAAAGCTTAATTTAGCCGTTGTCACGTGACATGAGTGTTTTGATTCACACTTCGGAGCAGTGTTTCGAAACATCTATGCTTCGGGATCTCGACACTGCGTCGAAATGTCAGTTTTGCGTCAGCCATCCCTATCTTCAGCTGAAATGTGTTTTGGCTGTATAGTGCACAGCTTTGAGCCATTTGCCTGCTATTGAGTGTTGGAGTAGTAGGGAGATGGGTGCCTTTTTCTTTTGTTCTCATTTTCTCCTGTTCCTGCTAGTTAGGAAGTAAGGTAAGGTAAGGTAAGAGTTCTGTTGTTTATTTGTATTTATTTTTGCAGGTTAAAGGGGTCATATGATGTTGCTAAAAAGAACATTATTTTGTGCATTTGGTGTAATGAAATGTGTTTATGCGGTTTAAGGTAAAAAAAACAGTATTTTCCACATACTGTACATTATTGTTTCTCCTCTATGCCCCGCCTTTTTGAAACGCGTCGATTTTTACAAAGCTCATCGGTCTAAAAAGCGAGGTGTGCTCTGATTGACCAGCTATCCAGTGCGTTGTGATTGGCCGAATACCTCAAGCGTATGACGCAAATTTTACGCCCCTACCATACTGTGATGCCCTGTCCCAGCGCGACAAGACAAAACAATAAAACCCATTACAAACTAGGCATTTGTTGCATCCAGTGGGGACATAATTACTGATTATAATGACTTATACTGTCTTTTTACGCGTTGCGTTACGTATTGCGCTGCGTAAACATAAAACTATGTCTGCATTTGTGATCGGAGAAACAACAAACAAGCACTACTCTACACTGCTCAAAACTCGCGTTTGAATCATATGTAAGGGAAACAGGTCAATTTAGCTCAAAGGGAATCATTTAAGATTTTAAAGGGAATTTGGACAGAATCACTGTTTTATGGCTGATCACTGAGACGGCCAGCGATTCATTAAACGGGCCGTATAACATCAACTCTATATTTTGGATATTAATATCCATTGCAGTGAAAACACTATTAATTAGCACAGTAACAAGATCGGCAGTTTAAGACATTAACTTGAAAGCACAAAACACAAGATACTTCTCTTTTCAATATAAATAAGGCTTTATTGGATAAATCTAAGACATATAAACTAATCTAACACATGAACACATGCATTCACACAAGTTGCAAAAAGAGAGAAAGTGAGGAAATAATTAGTTTAAGAGAATGAAAATGTGAAATCCCAAGTTTACAGCAATATGTGCAAAATTGCATAGACCTAAACAACTATCAATCACTTAATTAACCCTCACATTGAGTTCCTCAATGAGGT